CGCTTCGTCTCTAGCTTTTTTTTGCCGAAAATGAACCGCAGGGAAGAATGCCTTATTATCACGCGTGATGTAGGGCAGTATATAAGACTGCTATTCTGATGCGTGGGGTACATTATACTTCCATGTGATTTCTGTGCGGTTGGTCTCTACGTGACATACTTAGTGGAGACCTCATAGAAAGCGGTGAGTGTGCAAAGCTGTGTTCAATGTGATTGAAATCTTGGTTTAGAGTTTCTTTGTTTGGTTATGGAGGCGTCTGGCCAAGTAGATTGCTGTCAACTTGACCTTTCCAGGCTCTGAGGAAGGCGAAATCCGCCGAAACGTCAGCTCATTTGTGAATAAAGAATAATAACACCTCGCGTTTGCTCAACAAAAATACGAAGAATTACTTGATCAATGCCGAGGTTAATAGAAAGTCGGTCGTGGGAGGTCAGCAGTGTTATAGATGGATGACACCTTAGGAAGAAGAAGTACAGAAGCATTTCTGCCTCCAAACACCCATCAATGGGATCTTGACTGTTGAAGAATTCATACACACGCGATAAGTTGAATAAATATAGTCGAAGTCTGATATGGTAATTCCTTAGGCACGTATAGCTGTTTTCGGATGCGCTCTGCTATACACATGGATTCAATCCCCACGGCCCACCCACGCACGCCAAGTCCTATATTCCTCCAAAGTCGGCAAATTGGTACCAGACTTATCTGGGAAGATAGAAACACTGGATCGATACATCGGCAGGCCACCAAAAGTCCTTGTTTAAGACAGCTATGCACTCAGTCATCTCCAGTGATTGTTAATGAAGTCGAGTGCATGGCGAATCCCTCAGGAATTGATCAACGCTGAGAGATTTCTTTTTTTATTGCCATATCAGTGATACCGGTTGAAAGTAAATTCCGTTTTCTACACAACATCAAATCTATGTATTGAGCCAACATTACTGATAAACTGCCTGCTGAATGGCCGATCAAAAACAGTGTTGAGTGAATAAGTTGTTTTAAAACAGATCCCAAGACAAACTCTCTACCGGCCTTAGAATTAATAAAATTGCTGACGCGAGGTTGGTACAGATCTTCGTTGTCGTTGTTTTTGATGTTATTGATTAATGGCTGACGTTTCGGCGATTTCGCCTTCCTCAGAGCCGTGATGTTAAGTGCGGGACTTCGCGTCAGCTTAAGAAGATCAGTTTATAAGATCACATAAATAAATATATCAACTATCCATGCCGAGGTTTATAGAAAGTCGGTCTTTCAAGTTAATAAAATTGCATTTCTGATAAGCTAACATGCGATTATTACACAATAAGTCTTCACATAGAGGATATTGCAATGCTTAGTAAAATGATGCTCTCAGACGTTAAATAATATAATACAAATTATAGGGTGCTTCTAGCAAAATATGCTTGCGATAGACACCTACCGGAAAATGGAATGATAGCGTTCAAACAATTTATCTGAAGTTTCATACATTTAGTAACATGAATACAGATTAGAAAAATAAACGGAAACGTTTGAGCTCACGCCTCTAATTTCGAATCGCATATGCCATGGAAGAAAAAAAAACCGCCGAACACGTCATCACTATGTGAACAATTACGATACCAAAAACGAACAGCCACGATTTGGAATGGAAAAATGGAATGTAACGGCAGAACAAGTCGTCGAACCAGTACTCCTTATTTGGGACTGGCGAACACTGGTGGCTGCAAATAGTATTCAGTATTATTTCAATACAAAATGGACGATATTATACATCCAAAAACTAATGATTAATTTGCAGTACCTAGTGTAATTGTTAATGTTGACAATTTGGTAGGCTTATAGAGGAAATTCCCACGATTTTCTATTAAGCTCAGCATGGATCCAATAGTTCTTTATCGCTTAGTTGAGCAAAGGAAAGTAGGAAGGTGGAAGGAAGGAAGGCGATATCCGCCGAAAGTCAGCTTTTCCGTCAATAAAGAATAGAGTAACACTTGTGTTTGCACAACAAGACTATAAAGAATTATAGAGAAGAATTTATCCTATTTTCTAGTTGTAAATGCAACTTTTCTAAGATCAAACTTTTCCTGCAAACTTATGCAGGGCTCCAGATCTTGAAGAATTGAAACCAAAACTTAAGTTTCGAAATTATAGACGATAATGTGGCAGTCAAAATTATCAACGATACATTGAGGGATACTATCGAAATTTTACTAGTTTGCTATTCAAGATAGGAGATGAGAAAAAAAAGAAGTTATCTGGTCTCTGGAAAACTGAAGTCGCAGTTTGGTAGAATAAGGAAATGGTTTTCGTTTCAGTTAATAATGGTCATTAACAGCTGGTATATATTCGTTTAAATTTGGAAAGCAAAATTATTCCCAGCTATTTACGACTACTTAATTACTTAACTCTATTGTTCACTGGTGTTAAGGGGTGTTCTCTAAAAGTTTTTTTCTTCATCACATGGATAATAGCAATGACAAAACACTGACTGAGAGAGCTCCTCATTCACTCAATGCAAAAAGGATCCAGTTTGGAAATAGAACGAAAACTCACTACAAAGTTTAGCAGAGAAATTACATCACCGCGTGTGGAACATCCAACAGAAACGGTTTTTCTACGCTCAAGGAGTTCATCGAGCCGCGTGAGAAGGTTCATTCGCTCACATTCTATAGTTCCCACAAGAGCCTAAATGAAACGATGATATCACACACATCTGAGAAAGTTTCAAACCAAATTCTGGCAGGAATGAAACCATATCTAACACACCTGGATCCATCGATGATGTTGAACGCAATCTTTACGGGGTGCACAGCAAAATCCTTGGTCTTTCAAAAGATCCGCTCCGTGCTCAAACATCTCCGCGAATGTCAGTGATTTACCAGCTGACCAAGCTTTAGGGTATGCACAAACCTAACCAATGAGATAAAATCTTATAATAAAACAGCAAAACTGTTAATTTTGGGAATCACCTGACCTGTAGTTCATTTTCCAATTCACCTTTGTAGTGTTCAGCGCAGATAACTCGGACACGTTTACAATATGTGTTATTTGCCTTGTTGTAGGCCTCACAGAACAAATTGTCTGGATTGAAAGAAGCCTGAAAGCCACAACAACATTGCACACCGATAACCATATGCAGGCGTGTAAACAAATTATAGTAGAACAAATGCAAAGCTCTTAAGTCATGTGGAACCCACAAGCGCAATACTTCAATGACTCAAATGATTTTAAAGCAATTAATAAAACACCGAAACAGAAAGGACTAACAGGAGTAGCAGTGCCAAATGATGTTTGTTTCTCAGAACGAACAAAGCAACGCTCCACATGCTTCGGTAAATGACGGCCAGTAGTTTCCATACCACAAACAGTACAATTCACCATCTTAATGACTACATATCATAAGAAAACTTCCACGCTATGTTCGTAGTAAGAAAGAGCTTTACGAAGCCTCCAAACTTACAAAGTCGACATCTCCAGGTTCATCGTAACTCACTGATGTAGTGGATTTCATTGCCTAAAGCATATAATATAAATTGAAGATGATTCCATATGAATCAGAATGAAACCGTCTCACTGTTGCGTATCTTTCAATAGCACGAACGTAACCAAGCATGGTTTCTGTTTGTATTTGAATAAGACCTATCTTCTGATCGATCGAACGTAGCTCTTCAAGAGAATGTAGCTGAAAAAAATTCAGTATAGAAAAAATCTCCAATTTATCAGTGAGAAACAGAAGAAACACACCTCAGATTGCGGCTGCTCTTCATAATATTGTTGAACCTTTGCAGGAAGCAACAAAGTAAGGCGCAGCTGAAAAACCCTGTTAAAATAAGTTTCTTATTTCGGCAAAACGGCATAGAAAAATACACTGTTACCTATATAATAACGCCGAAAACCAAAAATTCGTTCGTTATGGACCTGCTTTGTACCATCAAAAAATGCATTATGTTATAAGGCACTAAAAGGTTGCTGAAATATTTGCAAAACTCCAGACCGCAGGTGTCTGCGGTGGAGATTGAACACATTATTACCCTTACCGAGGGCTAGCGCGCTCACCACAGCACTATGCGAGTTCTTTGTCTCGCCTGGGTGGTTTTCTATCTACCCGTACCATTAGCAATCACCCTTCAACGGAATTGACCTGGGAAGCAAAAATCGACATTGAACACAGTTAAGCTGAGGCCATTGTTAATATCAGTGCTAACTTCTTATTTGTTGCCTATATCTGTTATAAGCACTATTTCTTCAATCCCGAACGAGATGTAATCCTAAACATGCGAGTTATGGGATAAAACCACTATATCGAAGAAGGGAACGGTGGACCTAACCTTTGCTAGCTTGACTCCGCATTCATCACTGCAATATTTGCTATCCTCGCGAGCAGGCTTCACACAATCCGGCTCAATACATTGACGTGAATCGGCCTAAACTTCATCGTTTACGATGACGGCAAAAGCTATAAGTATTTGAAGTGAGGTGGCCTGCAATAACACGGCGACGCTGACTCGTTACACGGGAAGATAGATAGAACAACGGTTGGTCCAGTAGGAGCTTGTACAGGTTAAATATCCACTCAGTCAACACTACAAGGCTTCAAGGCTTATTCGTATGGGAGTGACTACGCAGAATGCTCTATTCTCTAGGTCTTGTAGGAAAATATGACTAATACAACAACAATGATGGCTGCAAACATAGCATAGTAACTGGAAAAGGTTACAATAACATCCAAATAACCACAACTGGGCCACTGTTAAGCCTTGAACCGTCAACCTTTAGAGGATTTTCAGTATGGACCTGTATATGCCCTCTGTTTTCAGTAAGAGAGTACAATGACCTAGAAAGCAACATCTTTACCTTCAGACAACTTAGTTCAAAAGTATACCTGTGCAACAACCTGTCTTCTACGGGCAGTAGTTTGGACACGTGGGGTCAATCGACGAACTGGTTCTGGAAGTCGTGATACTTTTAACAGATAACGGACCACGTTGACTTTTGGAAATCTAGGAATAGTTTCTCAATAACAAGAACAGTCAGGAGACTGAAAACTTGACAGATATACAGAACTTTGCCATATAAGGATTATATATATATATATATATATCCACGTAGACCCTTATATGAGCGACCTCCAGCCGGTTAGTCGTGGAGGCAACGTAGTGAGTCCCGAGATGGTGGATACGGGGTTGACTGCGGACCAATGACCTTTGCAGACTGTCGCTTCCCAGGCACTCAGGTAGGTCCAGAGGAGAGACCACGTGTGCCGAAATCGCAAAGAACTAAGGTGACCATCTGTGCTTAGAATGCAGGCACCACTTGCATCTGAGTCCTCGATAGAAGACTTACTAATGCAAGCAAGGAGAATAAGGTACGATATCAACGGCCTCGCCGAGACGAGACGATGCCACCCATTCAACGCCGTCTGTGACACCTGAAAAGAACTGTTCCTCGGAACATTGCAACAGTAGAGGAGACGGCGGCGTCGGTGTTCTCCTCAACAAGAGTTTGTCCATGAACATATATCCATTCGAACAACTAACAAACAGAATCGGACGTTTACGATTAAAAAGGTGAGGATCAATTCCGACTTTGACAATCTTCGTCGTTTACGCGCCGACGTCACACTATGACGAAGAAGAACTCGAAGCGTGCTATATGGACTTGGGGAAGTTCTACAGAGATGTTTACACATTCTTCAAAATCATCACTGGAGATTTTAACGCTAAAACCGGACCAAGAAAAACATCTGAAGAGTGTCATATTGGGATACACGGATTAGAAAGGAACGAACACGGTGAGCGGTTGTTTGGATATATCAAGACGATCAAGACCAATCATGGTAACTCGCAAATCCAGAAGCACCACCCTCAACGCTGGACGTTTCCAGTGGTTAGTGCCACAATGAAACAGATCATATCATAGTAAATCGAAGTTGGAAAGATGGCGTTCCCAATAACATTGACGAGGAATATGGTCAGCTCATTCAACATCTTCACGTTACCGCTATGTAAGCTGAGGGTTCGAAAGTCACAAAGAGACGTCTGTCTCCAGAAATACGAGCTGATACGCCAGCGTGGAATCGCACGAGCTACAGGCAATGCCAACTAACGTCCCAACTTGCGAAACAGTGCAAACAGGCGATAAAAGAAGATCTTAGAGGTGAGCAGCAGTCATGGTCAAAGCCGCAGAGGATGACAAAAGCATTTGAAAGGCACAACGACGCCTCGCCAATTACAAGACCAAGATGACTGCACTTCGATGCCCAGACGAAACAATTACAGTCCAAAGAGACAATGGAGAAAAACGTCCCCGTTTACTAGTCAGAGGTCTGCTCAGCAGTCCTCAAAAACGCACTGGCTTGCCTCTTCACGCGTTACTTGTCTGAATGGAAGATTCCTACTTAAAGAAAGACCAACACCGTGTTATTGTTCAAGAAAGGTGAACTACACGACATAGTCAACTATCGCCCAGTCTGCTTGCTGTCTGTAGTTTACAAACTTTTCACTCGAGCCATCCTAAACAGGACTGACAGAACACTGGATGAAGGTTAGCCATGTGGATAAGAAGGGTTTAGAAACAGATTCAGTACAACGCACCACATCCACACGATAAAACTTATTGAAGTGTCGCAAGAGTACAAAAACCGCTGTCCGAATTTCATCGATTTAAAGACGGCATTTGACTCAACTGAGATAGAAGCAGTCATGGAAGCCTTTGATAGTCAGGGACTCGCTACTCAGTACATAAAGATTCTTTGTGATCTGTATAAAAATATCAAACCAAAGGTACCTCTATACTACGACGATATTAACATCGACGTCAAAAGGGGGTTAGGTAAGGCAATACCATCTCGCCGAAATTATTTACCCTCACCCTCGAAAACGCCATGCGAACATTGGAATGGTGTAAAATGTACATGGAAATCGATGGTCGGAAATTACACCATCTCCGCCTTGTTGATGACGACGTCCGTATAACACCAAACATTAGCTAAGCGGAACGAATGCTAGCCGCTTTTGATAAAGGCTGTGGAAAGATCGGTCTCGCGTTCCAAGTGGCGTACTTTGTTATCACTTGTAGCGATAAAGTGGTGTTCAAGAACGCCAGATCCAGAGGAATCGGTAGTGATAAATGGAATACCACCTAATACTCTTCGTCTTCAGTAAGTTCGTAACCGCCTATATGACCGTCTCTGTGAAACATAGAATTGCATAGTTTTCTCTTATGGCAGGGACGGTGACTGCATGAGATCAGGCACGATATACCTAATCTCGTGTAGTACTTGAGACGAATATATTGGCGAAATGAGCAGACCATTATGTATCCGTATAAACCAGCACCTAACCGGTAAACAAAAGGTAAGAGAAGGTGAGCCACTGGGGACGCACAGGATACAAAAGCATAACGGAGACGACTTTGATATAAAAACCGCTCTCTTCGCCCAGGAATCAAAACACCAATGCGTAAACTTCTCGAGGCTTTTTGGACAAATGCTAAGAATTCGAGGATTAATAGCAGGGAGGAATACCCGAGATTACACGTGATTTCGCCCCGTAGCTTCGCTTCGATCCCTGATGTGGAGTGGGCAGTCACCAACCACATGCGACTCTAAGTAGCTTTTCTGTCTCGATGGAAGGCAGGTGAAAAACAGTGGGTTTTCGAGAAGCCGCTGATCTTGTCATTATCGTTCAGATTTTCATCTTATTTCGCTGTTAAAGGGTTTGCCCAAGTAAATTCCGCATTAGTGTACTTTCCAGATTCTGAAGAAGGCGATCCTGCGGAAACGTTATCTACCGTTGTGTTGTATGTGTTATTTTTGTAAGGAAGTAAATGTGTGCTCAATAGCAACGATCGGACACGTAGTGCGTATGAACGACAACTGATGGACAAAAGCCGCTAATGACTGGATTCTTGGAGATGTCAGACATACTGCAGAAAGACCGCTGACCCGATGGCCAGAGTTCTTCACGAAAAGCTTATAAGAAAGAAATGATGCTCAACGAGTCCCTAGAGCAAGCAGAACCTACTGCACCGCTCTTGCACGCGACAAAGAAAAATGGAAAATTTAATGGCGCCCTCTGAAGTCACTCGACAATCAACGGAATTACAGGTGATACAGCTGATATATAAAAGGTTAAAGCTCTCGGTGTTGAT